GTGGTCCCATATGGAGAACTCAAAAAGTTAATTATAAAACACAAGAAAAAGACTGAAAGGAACACAGGAAATTCTCAAATGTATGGCAAGAACTTAGTATTAGAGACCTGGTAGTTTTCAGAGTCTCTATGGACCTCTGCTCTAAATAATTATCTTTTATGACCCCTAAAATTTCACCCATGGATTCTTTCATTTTAGCCATAAGATCAAATCACTCAGGTAGCCCCAAAGGCCTAATAGAACATTATGTACTTCTGAGGAAAAAAAACCAAACAAACAAACAAACAAAAAAAAACCAACAAAAAAAACAAACCCACACCAAAAAGTTGAAACCATTTGGATTTTGAAAATAAAATAATTTTAAGGAATTTATTTTCTAACATTGAGTTCTTCCATAATGATAATGTACAGATCAAACCAATAATTTCACTTCTGTCATCTCAGACACTTACTGCAATCAGAAATAGGTAAGGCACTATTTGGATGACCAGTAAGTCAGCATTTATTTTTTTCATAGATACGTTCTTGTCAGGTGTTTCTAACAGGCACCTCAGATGATGTTCTAGTTATATCAGTGTGGCCAAATTAGTTTATTTGTAGTACAGAAGGTTAAGTAAGGAGAACTTAGCCTGAAGTACTATTCATTTTCTGCACCTCATTTACTCAATGCTATGTTTGGCAGGTTAAAACAAATACTTTTAGATCTACACACACAATACAGATTCTTTTTATGCCCCTGCATTTACAGTACGAATATATAAGATTTTGCTCTTTGGAGCAGCGCAGTTTCAAGCTTAAAGGACTTTTCAACTATTGTACAAAACTGGATCAACTATCTCTCTTTTCATTTTTTACTGCTCAATGAATTCTGCTGCTTTATGCATGACTATTTTCTTTACACTCATTTAAATAACAGTACAGTTCACAGTCAGAAGGGAACTATAACACAGGAATTCCAGCATGAAGTTGTTTAAAGAAGATATCTGGAAAACACTTTATTTCCAATATCTTTCCCACATGGAAACAGGACTTCACCCCATGTTACTTAATTCCTTTGATTATTCTCAAGAGTTACCTGTTGTAATCAACGATTGTTTCACTAGCCGGTTAGCTCCTGATTTATTTTTCTTAGCAATAGTGTGCAAGAGTGAAGCAGAGAGAACTAAGTGTTAATAAGGCATCAAGTGAAATGAGACAAACATCGTTACCAAAAAATCCAGGTACCATAGTAAAATTCTATGTAAAATACTAGCTTTTTTCTAAACAAAGAAATACTGTCAGTTTCTTTCAGGTTCAGCTATTTATTTCAACAGGTCATTAGAATCTACATTTCACTTACATGTTAACAACTGATTAGAGAAAAATCAAATTTTGTAGTCTAAAATACAGGATAAGAAATAAGCCCTACCACAGCAATTATTATTAGTAAATAGCAGTGATCTAAGCTGAGTAAGTAACAGCCCATAAGCTACTCTCAAGACCATAACGAAAAAGAAATAGAAGCTATCTAGAAGAAGAGACAGATAACAAAATGGATTACCCACACACAGTCCTCTCTCGTACCATAACGCTCCTACTGATCTTATCTGCCAAAAGCACGGACTATGGGCAGACAGAGGTAGTACTTAAGTGACATAAAGCAGCAATCACCTGGCATATGCTTAAGTAACTGATCTTCCAAAAATCAAAATCCACTACCAAAGATAGCCTCACCGTCAGCAGGGAAAAAACCCCTAAAACAATGGTTAGGTTTCAGCTTTATAGAGGAAGGTGGCATGAACTTCAAACAAAGTTGAATTACACATGACAGAAGTAAATAACTTAAGTCACGTAAATAACATTAAGTAAATAACTTAAAATGAGTGGACAGAAAACACGCAATACACTTCTGTTTGTTCTAGGTTGTGCAGAGGTTACCTGTCTTACATGTATCCACTGAGAGGAAGTTCTGTCAGCAGCAAGTACATAAAAGAAGGGAAGCAAAAATGAAGGCCATTTAGAACACTTAAGCTATTCCCCAAGTTAATTTTCAGGAAAGGGACACTAATCACAGTACAAAATAACAGAAGAGGGCTGTTGTGGAACAGTGGGATGGAGTTTATCTGCAACGATTGGATTATGTCAAAAAAATAAAAAAGGGAAGCTGCAAAAGAACAGGAATAATCAAATCATTAGTGGTTTTGGATAATAAAGCTGGAATTATTTTTGCAAGTTTTAAAAGGAACAGACAAGAACGATTACCAATTTTTTTCCTTCATCTACCCCTCCCTCCAAGTGAATAGATTAGGAAAAAGTGTTTTCTTCTGCTTTTGCTAACTCAGGAATACACCCTGCAGTTGAGAATAGCCAGTTTACAGAATTCGTGATTTTTGACTTTTGCTGGCAAACTTAGCAGGCTCCAACTAAAGAGTAATCTTTCTCACTTAAAGCAAGTCATGCATCTGTGGTCCAGTGCCTCAGTGTCTGACAAATGTTCTGCAGAATTTGAAATGGATTGCAATGAAATAAATTCCATAAAATCTACTCATAAAGTTGCAGTTAAATTCAAATACATTGAAATGAATCCCATAAGTTCCTATATGTACATTCCATCTGTTTCCCCATCCTCCTCTGAAGGCCAAGATAATTTTACTAAAACCTAGAATCTTCCATTTCACTTACACCAATATAACCTGTTATACTATATAAGAGCCTAAAAGCAACTCCCAGATTTGATACAAAACAGATTTCATCCCCTAAAGCAACACTTCTAAGACTTACAGTAGCTTTTTTTTGAATTTGCAGCATGTTGCCTTCCCTCCTGAAGAGGTAGTCATCTTTTCACTGATCAAAAGGTGATCCAACAATGAAGAGAATTTTTTCCATTAGTAAAACTGTTGGTATTAATACTGTTTCTACAATATACTTTCAATAATGCCCCTAAATTAAAATAGCAGCTTTGTCAACAAATTACACCTGGACAAATGACCCTAGTCTTATGGAAATACTTAAGCAATAGGAACAAAATCCGTGTTTATACCATCCAGCAGGCAGTACTTTTTGTAATGTTGAAAAACTTCCCTCTAAGACACACTATGTGTGTGTCTTTAGCAAGACAAGGGCAGAAATATCTTCCAGGCATCATGTAATCTACAAGAACCACAGTGACCAGGACAAAATTCTGCCCCATTTTGATCTGTAGTAAAACTGCTCCTACATGTGATTTTGGTCAGACAAATCAAGCTAGCTGACGGAAACAAGTATTTCAGAACACTTACATATTTGTGAATTCACACCAAAAGCCTGCAGTCCTCAGAAGTTTCAGAAAAGCGTAATAAATGAGGAACTGCAAACTAGTTATAAACTAGAACAGACTGGAGTTAAGACCTCTACTTACAGAAGAGCTGCATTCATTGCATTTGGCAGCTCAAGGAGGTGTGCATCTTTTCTTTCAAAAGAGCCAGAGGCCCTTCATCCATCCAGGAGCTGTGTGCTCTGCCACATCCCAGCTCCCTACCAGTACGACCATAGAACTGGTCAGAAGCACAATCAAGAATCTCACGGTAAGAACCAACACAACAGGAAACCTAAAGCAATGGCAGTGCTAAACTTTCAACAGGAATTTGACTTTCAAACAAATTCAAACTTATAGTATTACAGACAAGTTCTACCCACAGAAGAAATGTAATGGTTTGACCGGTTTTTCCATGCTCCATTGACAAGCATGTGACAAAACTGCAAAACCAAAAAGTTACATTTAATTCAATTCAAAGAATTATAACAAATCCAACCAGTAACATTTACCAACTCCTGGATTTAGAAGTAGTTGGTTATGAATGATGCACAATGCAGATACAAAACTGCAGTGTGCAGAATTAGAGCCTTTCCTAGAAAACCTGCAATTTGAGTATTTACCTAGACATACTATTGTAGTACATAAAGAATTGTTGCCTGGTGTGTCTATATGACATAAATATAAATTATTTCAATCTAATAAAAGCAGAAAATAATAGAAACTGAGTCACACCAGATTTTTCACCTTCAAAACTTACTCTCAAGACCCCTGTGCCAAATCCACAATCAATTATCCCATAAAAAATTCCTTGAAAAGTAGTGTCATACCATTCACAATGCATCAACAGGAACTTACATCCACTAATGTTATTAACATTGCATTACAATCTAAGGTATTTCCATCAGGACAAGGACAGCTGTAATAATTGTATAACCACAGCTTAAGCCTTATTGGCAGTTCAGGCAGGTGGGTGTTGATGTTCTCAAGGAAAAAAAAAAAAAAAAACCAACCCACAACACAAAACCAACAAAAAAAAACAACCCACAAAACAACAACAACAAACCCTCAACAAAACCCACACACCACACACATGGCCAGTATTTGTTCTGCTTAAATTCTAAGGAACATTTGCCAAAAGTCAGAAAGTTTTTAATACGGTGGAGACCAAATATGCAGGAAAGTGTGTGACACTCCTAAGAGGCTACAAAATTCTACTTTCAGCATTCCTATTACTCAATGCAAAATATTTATGCAGGGGGGGAAACGCTTACTTTATTGTACATGTTCCAACATCTAACAGGTGTGCAACCTGCTGTAGGTGAACATGCTTTAGCAGGTGGGTTGGACTAGATGATCTCCAGAGGTCCCTTTCAACCCCTGCCATTCTTTGATTCTATAATCTTAGGCAACAGGCAAAAATTTTCTACACAAACCAGTTTTCAATTTTGCAAAACAATGATTCACTATGAAGTTAGATGCATTAACTTAAAACAAACAAAACCAAATTTCTAGTGACAAGCTGAAAACCCCCAATATTTACCGTTATCTTCCTCACAATCTTATAGGTTGTTTTATTTAATTGTTTTCCTTATCTTGTCACCTGGTTACAGCTGAGAAGGAAAAAATATTTCCATTATTTTCATCCTCACAAAAACATTCCCCTCTGGCCGGTCAAAAAGCAAGCATCTACACACTTAAAATTTTTATTTTACATATTATAACTCACCTGCTTGGGAAGCCGGAAGAGAGAATTTTTGTAAAACATATCTTTAGCCTGACTCCATGTTCCATCGATGATGATCAAAACAGATGGACTAGAAGATATCACAGCAACTTCTTCCAAATTGCTTGCTTCAGCTCCAGGATACAAAACTAGAGTACTGGGATTTCTGCACACAGTTGCTAACTCGGGATACCTTCAATGCACAGACACACAAAATCACAATAATTATTAAAAGTCATACTTCCAGATATTCCCACTCATCATCTTCAGCTTTTACTTAGGTTTCAAAGAAGTTATTCGCTCAGCTACCACTTTCTAACACCTCAAAAGTTGTTCGTTCTCCCTCAGCTCCTAAGGGGGGGGGAGAAAAAAACACCCTCAAAGGTAATCGATAAAAGCTTGATAAAGCAATATATCAGGAATATTTTCCAGTGTTTTAATCATTAACTTTCTAATGTCTATTAGAACTAAAGATGTTCTGAATTGTTTACCAAAATGTAACGTATGTGTTCTAGCAAAATTTGTTCAAGCTCTTGGCACAAAAACACTACAATCATCTCATTTTGACTGTGGTATATATAAAGAACATCAGCAATTTATGGTATACATCTAGAGGACATTTTTGAAAACGTTACCATCTCAATTTATCTTTTTTTTTTTTTCTCTAATTACTACTTCTACAGTTACAGTCCCAAAACTTGTACACTCTCTTTTTCTTTCCTGTTGGCTTCTACATGGTACCAGAGTAACTACTGCCCACTAAGCGTTCACCTAATGTAGACAGAAGTTCCTGAAGTTTTTGCCGGACACCACTGTTCGTTTATAAAAATTTATGAAATGCATTGTCGTTTAAGTAGTATGGAAGCCTCAAAAATCACCTAGTCAGGTAGGCTGGTCAGGGAGAATTTGAGGAAAAAGCTGGCCTTGTAACAGACTGCATTACTTGTCTTGAATCAATTTCAGCAGTATCATCATGTAGTCTTCAGAATCACCTCAATCAGAAAGCAGGAATAAATACAAAGCATCAGCTGACTGTCTGAAGCATGCAACAAAGAATAAGAAATTAATTCTGGTAGTACCTCAGAGGTTATAAAGAGTAACTGATGTGGTAGGAGATGAGCAATATGTATTTGAAATAGCACGTGACTATTTGTGCTCTGAAGTGAAAAAGGAAAGCCAGTACATCTTATCAGAGAAAATAAGGTGTATCAGAATGAGGTTAACAATAGCCAGCACACAAAGTGGGCTCTCTATGCTACCTATCAAGAACAACTAGGTGTAAGAGCACGGGCACAGACATAGGCAGGATGCACACATGTTAAATTCACAGAGAATTTCCTAATGCCACTGTGACCCTGCAGTTTTTAAGCCCCAGGAGTTCAGCACCTGCATCACTCATCCAAAAAATCAAGAATCTCCTTCCTTAAGAGAGGAAAAAAAAGAAAAAAAGGTTAGGGAAGACAGATGTAGTTAGTAATGGGTTTTGAGTTGATAAGTGTACTTCAAATCTGTGCACTCCATTACCACCATCTGGGGATATACGTGAAAACACAATTTTACCACTGTTAGGTTCAGGCAGAACTGCAGTGCCTAAGACATTGAGATCCTGAGCTTAAGATTCATATAGGACCATGTGGGAAATAAGTGAAATGAAAGAGGAACCAAATTCAGTGTACCAATAAGCTCAAAGCTAGTATTCCAACATTTGACCATCCTTGCCCCCCCAAGCAAACAGTCAGACTGATTCAACACTACGTGGATCCTTACTGTCAACATCATTTACTAAAGAAAGAGTAACGATCTTTCCTTCCAAAATGAACAGTAAAAGTAAGTGTAGAGACAGGAAATCTGTAAGATAAGTCTGTGGCAAACACAAGTACAGGGAAACTCCTCTGCCCAAAATCTGCTTAAACCTTACTTACGTTATGGTAATTTGGTATCACCGTAGTTCAACCAAAATCACGCTACACAAAACCAAAAGCAAGGTGGTATCTCACTACAGGCTACCGAGCCAAGTTTTAAATCCAGAAAAACAGTCATTATGTTCAGATGTTGTCTTGAGCACCCAACACCTCAAAGAGCAAAGTATCCTGGGATAGCAGAGCTTTCAAATCATTAACATATCTTAGATAATTTAAAAAAAAAAAAAAAAGAATTACTAAAACTAATCCAAAACCATAATGATTATAAAGCACTACGAGCTCATATTATCAACGCTACAACTGAGGTCTTACTCTTTGAAATACAATTCAGTTGTAAACAATGTTTTTCACGGCATACTCATCCAAGAATTCTAGTCATTTCAGTTTACAACAGTTCATATGCAAAAACAAAGGCAGGGGGATGGTTCAAACAAATTTTGTAAATCTGTCCCACAAATTTAACCTAGGATTTGAGGGCTGACTATGCATACACTGTCATAAGAACTCATAACACATTACAAACTAGTAGCAGTTGCTGCTATCTTTGAAGAGTTTACTATCCACAGACTTAATCCTAGAGTGACACCGAGCTCACTCAGACAGCTATTGAGTACTCTTTCCTTTCATGGACACAGGTTCTCACAAATACACAGTGCACAACCCCTTCTAGGTTATGGTTCACATTGACAGTCACAGTCCATGTCAGTAGTTTTATTAAAATATGTGTCTTCCATTCATCAAACATGCTTCTTCCTTCCTTCCTTCCTTCGAACAGCAGGGGAGGAATGAGATAAACATAAACACCCAATGTTTGCTTAGAAAGGGACATAGTTTGTATAAAACAAGTTTAAAAAAATTTTTTATGTATTTCTATACAGGTACATCCTGTTAATTCCACTGCAAGTTTTGTATTTGCTGGGGTTTAAGGCTTTGTTTCCTCTCAGTTTGTTGCTGACACATAGTGCAATCAGACTTTTTCTACTCACACACTACTGCTAAGAATTTGTCCCCAAAACAGTTTTTACATACATCCTTCAGCTGCATTTAATTAGATCTGTGAAAGAAATGAAAAGTCTCAGTACAAGTCTGAATTTATATCTGGTAAATAAAAATTAATCTGTTAACTGAACAAATTGATAAGGCATTCAAATGGCAGGTACATACCAACAATATCCTTTTTGACAGCCACTTAACGAGAATATGCTTCTGACATGGTCGCTTTGGTTAAAAACCATAGTACAGTGTATTTAATCACATACTACTTCCGAAATACTGCTATAGGGCAGGATTTTCTCTACAAGAATTATATGTTTTTAAAGGAAACTTACAGGAAATAACTGTGAAAAATTAGCCATTTCAATATAATGCTGAAATAGAGCTGTTGCCTGCTCAGCTCTTTTGAAAACCTGATCCACACTACAACTTTTTTTCCTCATACACTTGCACTTGTATGCTTAAGCTTACTATAGCATATAAGTAAAAGGACTAGGAATTAGATTTCATCTTCACAGAGCTTTACTTCTAAAAGTAAGTGCATATTATCCTACTATAAAAACACATTCAAACAATGTTAATACTGATTTTTTTGAATACCAGTAGTTTGTTCCATTGTTTAACTACAAGAGTAATTTGAGACAAATAGTATGTCTTATTAAAAATACAGGAGACAATTTCATTAAGGCTGATGTTTGTATTCATGACGACTCATGAAATATTAAAGAATATATGCCAGTTTTGAAACTCTCCTCAGAGCCACAGCAGAAGCTCCTTGCTCAGTCCCCTGCTACGCAGGAAAATGTATTTTTGCTTTTTATCCCTGACTAAATTTCCCCTGCAAAACAAGTGCAACATCAAAAACTCAGTACCAGGTCAGCTGGCAGTCCAGACAGCCTTGTTTAGAAAGGGAGAAATTTCAGGCCACACACTAGATCACTGCACTGGGAGGTAGATAAGCAACCTCTTAGCAAGACACATTTCTGATCCTAAGTCCTCCAAATTGTTAAGAGTTGAGAGAGGAATTGGGTAAGTCTCACCAGGCCTGTAGCCACTCTTCTGTGAGCTCTTTATCCTTTGGGGTGTTTTTGGTTTTTTTGCTTCTTTTAAATTCAAGCTGCTTTTCTTTAAATTCAGGAACACAGTTCTGTAGTCCAGCTAGACTTCTGTATGTGTTGAAATTAAACCAAAAAAACACACAGAGGTAAGCTAGAAGCAGAAGGCCAAATTAGGATAAGCACATGCTAGGAGCACAAACACGAGCAGTCACACCAGAATAAGCTAGTCCAAGCTACAGAAGGACTGCTTCATTCCGATGATGGAAGAATTCCACACAGCAACTGTCCAGTCAGAAGCATGGTCTTCTTGGTTTTTGCCATCTTGTGACATAAAGTAGCATACAGTTTCACAGCATTTGTGACATCAAGACACGTAGCTTCGACACTGCAAATGCAGAATGAGGGGGGACATCTGTGCTGAGGGCAGCAGTTGCTCTAGACAAGACAGCTGGACCACATGCCTCACGACAAAAATTTGTTTACCAAAAATGCCTCTGCAAATGAGTTTGCCCGCTACTTTATCACAACCTGGACTTAGGAACAACTTACTGAAAGAAGTTCCTCTTCTAATTGTGTCTCTTCTCACCAGTGTTCAGAACATTGACATTTCCTGCCATCTTTGAAACCTTGTCTGCAAGTGCTTCAAATGTGCCTGTGGCCCAATACCAGCAGACATGTCAAAGCCAGTGTTAAGGCTGGGCATGGTAAAGGGGCACAGCAGTAAGCCCAAGACAAGGAGAAGAGAGTGAAGAGCAGTGTGGTTGCTGGTCAGCATTTGAGACTACTTTAAGTTACATCTTTATAGTGCTTTTGTAGAAGCCTTTCTTAGTGTGAAGCGTGACTAACTTCAGAGAATTAACAAGGGCTTTAAGTTTATCTTCCATTTCAGTCAGAACAGACATGCTGATGGCAGTCCCTTTGAAGCCACCAAATTTCAAGCGGAGACTAAGAAGCTGAGTGTCTAAACAAGTACTTTTCTTCCTACAGATCAGAGGCTGACTTTTAAAAGAATTCAAAACTCTGGGTCAGTCAGGGCAAAAAAGAAAGATAATATTGCACATATGAAAAATATCTCCTAAACAATCTGTTACTCCTTGGCCTTTCTCAAAGACGCTGAAAAAGAATGGTATAAACTCCTAACTGAGTGACAATAAGAACTTACTTCTTAATTTAGGTACTGTACTTTAGCATACTACCAGACTTGGTATGCTTTGGAATTACTTTGTTTTGCATGCTACTTCACAAACAACTTTTCTTATTAAAGTGGACCAGGTAAAGAATTTCAAATACAAAATTGTTCTATGTTAACTTAATAGGCATGAAGACAATCAATTAAGCAAATCACAGAATCACAAATCCTTTTTTTATTTTACGTCACATATATTTGTGCACTACTAACAGCAGTTATCAAAAGTTTCCTGACGATTTGTTGTGATTAGGACTCTGAAGCCATGAATATGAATCCTTAAATAAAAATCTCAAAAGGATATATTACAGTGAATCTCTGATGAAGTTACAAACACACACAACTCATATGTACTTAACAAGGAAAGAAGATGTGCAGCTCTGTAACATTTCACCCTAGCCAAGGCAATCGTTTAACTGAGTTCTTAATTGTCATGGCAGGGGGTGGAAGAATACAGCTTAATTTTCCTTTCAGAAATACTACAACTGTAACAGTTTATAACAGTTTTTAGTTGATGTTACCTAAAGGGCCTGATAATGAACATGGCTTCATTGTCTGAACGGGACGATTTAGGCTTCTGAATTACTGTATAGCACTATAATTACAAAAATACAATTTAAATGATAGAAGTGACACTTGGTGGGAACTAAAAGGACTTCAAATTCATATGTGTTGGACGTTAATATAAAAAGAGCTTGCTTGAAAAATAGATGCAGGTAAAAATAGGTGTAACTTTGTCTAAAGCCTGCAAGGCAGAGCAAGATCTGTTCTTTACTCTGTGGGCCCCTAAGTAATAACTAACGAGGAAAATAATAAAATGGAGGTATATGAAAGATCAGATGGATTGGAACTTTCTTTTCTAACCATTTCTACGTTGTTAAAAACTAGCAGAAGCTCTCCAACAAGCTTTCCAAACAAAGACAATAGAATTTTAAAACCCGAAGTTGTTCACAGGATTAGTGGTCGAATCTAAGAGTAAGTATGAAAAGACAAAAAAAAAAAAAGGTTACTATTTCCACAGAAGAAACCACAACAAATTAAGGGGATAAAATGGAAAGCATGAAAAAGAAATGCAATGAGAACTTTTACGAAATCCTGAACACTTCACTGATGTCACAAACCATACGAAATATAAGAAGTATAAGGAAACATAATATAGATACAACAGAGACTCACTAAGACACTAAGGATGGTTATAAAAGTATAGTACAAGTCTAAGTGAGTACCATGAAAAAAAAACAAGTTCACTAATTAAAACCAGAGGGAATAAAACAACCATAAACCACCACACTGGTCTGCAATCCAGGGAAAACTAGTAATAAATAAAATTAGGAATAAGTGGAACCTCAAAAATTGAATTTCACAGTTGACCTTTTCAATGGAATAACGTGGGAATCACAACCATCAACAAACAAGTCAGCTCTTACATTAGAATATAGGCCACCTCAAAACGTACTCTACTGCAGTCAAAACACAGTGTCCTCCCTTACACAAAAACAAACAAACAAAAGACACCACAACCATATAGGTGTTAACTAGCTGGAGAAGGTCTACTGACAAGAACAGCAAGAAGGACAAAAGTCTTCACGGAGAAACTGAAGGTTGTAATTTTTAAAGAAAAGGTGGCCGAAGGGAAATCTAGTTAACAGTCTCCAAAACCACAAGAGGAAGGAAATAACCTGTTCTCTATGTCCACAGAGGACAAGAAAAGAAATAATAATTGCAGCAAGAAAGAATCAAACGAAAGAGTGACAAAACCTCACAAGCTACCTAATGGCAGTAAGTTAAGTTTGCACATTAAAACAGACCCATTGAGAATTCTGCAGACTGTGCTGTACATGGTATTAACACCATGCCCTACATGCAGCTGATCCTGCTTTCATAGGGGTGTAACAGTGGCATCTTGAGGACCCTTCTACTCCTACTTCTCCAGATATGCTGAGATATATCTATAGATAGATAGATAGATAGATATAGAGATATATATATATATGTAATGAATATTCAATGCCAGTGCTGGTCTTCAGTTGCTCTCATTCTTAAATGTAATGATTTCACGTAATGGAATTACCCTGAAGGAATATCCTCTATAAGGACATGATGGTGTTTCCAGTGTTCTCACACATGTACTTATCACATGATTTTCCTATGAACATTCATTCCTGGCACTGCACATACTGTAGGTATTTCTAGCTTTTTGTGGATTTCAGAAAATGCTGGCATTCCCAAGAAAAGTCAGTTTGTATCATCTACAGTTGTAGTTTTCCACTTCAATGCAGGTAACATTTTACTGTAGTAATTAAAAATAAGATCAATCTGAAGATAATCACTTTCTATAAATACATCGATATAAAATTTCTTATCTGTTAACCACCTTTCTATGACTGACAACTAATGTAAAGTTCAAAAAGATAATGCAATTTAAAAGATATATTTTAAGGTGCAACTATGGTCTTGAACTCTGTAAGAAAAATACTTGCAATACTTGCTTCTCATACAAACCAGCCTTAGTTTTGGTATGCAGCAGGCATTGCAGACCTATATAATCCATTTAGTCTGACAACAATCTCCGCTAAGTAGAACTATTCAGATCTTTCATTTGTGCCTGAATTGTACCCAATCACTTTGTCATAGCACATTTATAAATTTTCATGATCGTACTTAAGACAAGTAGCATTTTGTTATTTCTTGAGATACGTAATTTAAACTCTATCTTATCTCATTATAATCCAGTTTCTGTATCATAAACATTTTTATTACACATCTATACTCAGTTTCTCTCCAACTCTAAGTGGTTTCCATGCAACAGGGATCTATTAAACTTTACCAGTGCAAAATGCAAGTGTTTTTTAATTTTTTTATTTAAAATTTTTTATTAAAAATCCAACATTGCCATTTAGTAGCAAATAGTGCTGATACTACAGAACAGATGCTAATTTACTATCTGTGGAAAACCATCAGGTTAATGAGAACTTCTCCATATTTCTCATAATTTTTACTATTTCACCTTGGTCATAAGCAGGTGCCTTTGCCTCTCTCAATACTCCTGGCACTTGGAAGATTGTAGGAATACTGATCCCCATAATTCCCATAAGGTACCAAGATGGATAAAAATAAGGGCAAAACCCCTCCATCATCTCCACACTCAGCAATAGTCCCTTAGGATATGGACTGAAGCATAACAGATACCCAGCAACAGAAAAAAAATATGTTTTCATATTAGATACTCTACTTTTTTGTAGACATTCAGTCTCTAATACAATTGGGATTTTTTTTCTTTCCTGTTTAAGATCAATTGTATAAACAAATTCTCTTTGGTCAAAAGATCAAATAATGAGAAATATTTTTAAGGCTTGGAAACCTGTAATTTTACAACTAAGTATTTTACCATTTATTAGGGAAAAAGGCATAAATACAGATTGTTAAAGAACTCTTTTTAATCTATGAAAACCTGTATATAAAATACTTTGTCAGCAAAAGCTCTGGTAAGTTGCCCAGCAAAAAGATATCATTACCAATGTCTCCAAATAATAGTAGCTTTTACAGCATAAACATGTAAATAAAACAGAGATAAGTTTGCCTGTTCTGGGACCCTAGTATGTGTTACCAAGTTTCTTATTACTGCCACAAGTGGATCTGGCCTCCAACATTTAATAAACTAGAACAAAAACAAATAATGGGTACAAAGTGGTGGTTTTATTGTGTCTTCTGTTATTCCAATTTCAATTTACTTCTCCCTTCTCACGTACTGTGCTTAAATTAAAACAAAAATAGAACATAAGGTAGTAATAAAAAGAAAACTACTTCTTGTCTGTGCTATTAAGAGTACTAACAGGTTTTTATAGAAAAAAACTGTTTTGTTTTCAACCAATCTCAAGATTGAAAAAACTGGCTCTTCTAACTAATATGCCAGTCATATTTGGTAACACGGGCATTTAGTTTTGAGAATGAACGCAATGGCAGCAAACATACAGTCCTGTCAAGAAATTAAAAGCAGAGCTATTACCTTGGCGAGTTTTTGCTTTGTTAGTGGACCTCAGTGTCAGTCCCCTCACATATTCAGCGACTTCCTCAATGAAAAGAGTTTATTGCAAAACCCCTCCCCAAGCCGCCCAAAAAAAAAAAAAAAATAAAACTCACCAACAACAACAGATCCTTTTGCACTGAAACACAGCACAGGTCTCCACATTCTACTAAAGGTCATTTTTTCCTTTAAATTGCATTGAGTAACCTCTTCCTATCTACTGCTCATACAACATTAAACTTCCCAAAAACATGTTGTGGCTTATCTAGCATCATGGAAAAAAGAAAAAAAAACAATCTACAGTTTGTTGTGGTTTAAGCCCACCCAGCCAGCAACAAAGCACCACACAGTGCTCACTCCAAGCCCCTGCCCCCATGGTGGGATGAGGAGGAGAAAATATAACAAAAAGCTCGAGGGTCAAGACAAAGGACAGGGAGGACTCACTCACCAATTATAGTCACACGCAAAAACCAGACTCAACTTGGGGAAACAATATCAACTTAACTTAAAACACCACCACCACCACCCCCCATTTACCAACTAAATCAGAGTAGGACAATGAGAAATACAATTAGATCTTAAAAAACACCTTCTTTCCCACCCCTCCCTTTCTTCCCAGGTTCTACTTCACTCTCAATTTTCTCTACCTCCTTCTCCCTCAGAAGGACAGGGGGATAAGGGAATGGGAGTTGTGGTCAGTTTGTCACACGTTGTCTCTGCTGCTCCTGCGTCCTCAAGGGGAGGACTCCTCGCAGTCTTCCCCTGCTCCAACATGGGCTTCCTCCCACGGGAGACAGTCCTCCATGAACTTCTCCAACACGAGTCTTGCCCATGGCTGCAGCTCCCCACGAACTGCCCCAGCAGATTCCTATTTCCCCCTGCTAAGTCTGTAAAACTTCAATTAAATATTTGTTTTCTATAATATCTGTATTGCATTATTTGCAAGTTGCTCACCATAACTTAGGAAGTTAACCACATAGATTCTAAAAGCCAGTACTTCTTCACACTGCTTGTTTTGGAGAGAAGGGGGACAAAAATTGAAGTAGAAGACAGAAAACCGATGAAGAATTCTTCAAGTGTCACCACCAGAGATAAAAATAATCTTCCACTCCTTCTAGCAGAAAAAAAATTGTCCAAATATACCCTAAGCCCAAGCAGGAGGACAGGAGGGAAAGGAATTTCTAAAGCTACAGTCCGCAGCATAGTAGGAAAAGGTCATACCATACCTTAATCCTAGCTCAACTGTACAGAGAAAAGACTTCAGAACAAAACTTCAAAATACAGCAAAAATATCCAAACAAATTAGAAACTGAAGCCCAGGAAATAAAGCACATATTTGAAAAGGCAGCAGCAATTAGTATATCTAGAAATGCCGCATCCCTTTAAAATAAATAACACCCATTACTGTTTCTCTAAAAAATTTGTGAGTTTTGCTTCAAGAAAGTAATGCACCTATTTCTCATCTGTATATTGGGCTAATGCAATTAACTTCACTATTAACACAGAGTATTCACAACAAAGGATTTCTAAGTGAAACAAAGAGAATAAATTACTAATGCCAGATAACTTCT